GAGGTATTTTCTCGGTATGTAGGTTGCAAGATCAAAGAAAGGAATTTATGTTTCACAAAGGAAATACACTGTTGATTTGCTTAGAGAGACAGGTTTTCTGGGCAGTAAACCAGCAGATACACCTATTGAAGAGAACCACAAGTTGGGATACAAGAAAGGAGAGGTGCCCGTCGATAAAAGGAGATACCAGAGGTTGGTTAGGCGTCTAATCTATCTATCCCATACACGGCCTGATATTGCCTATGCTGTAAGTGTGGTCAGTCAATTTAGGCGGGAGCCATATGAACATCTTGGAGCAGTTCATCGCATTTTGAGGTATCTCAAAGGAACTCCAGGAAAGGGGTTGCTGTTCAAAAAGAATGATTCAAGGAAGGTTGAGGCATTTATTGACGCGGATTGGGCTGGATCAGCCAGTGATAGAAGGTCTACTACTGGGTACTGCACATTTATATGGGGCAATCTAGTGACCTGGAGAAGCAAAAAACAACCACTGGTCGCAAGGAGTAGTGCTGAAGCCGAACTTCGAGCTCTTGCACAAGGAATATGTGAACTTCTATGGTTAAAAAGAATCATGAGTGAGCTATCACTTCAAAGTGAGAATCCCATGCTGTTGTATTGTGACAACAAGTCAGCAATCAATATTGCTCACAATCCAATTCACCATGACCGTACTAAGCATGTAGAAGTGGATAGACATTTTATCAGAGAGAAGATCAAAGGGCTTGTGTGTATACCTTACATCACATCCAAAGGACAACTTGCTGATTTCCTAACTAAAGGTCTACCACGGGTTAGGTTCGAGGAACATTTATCCAAGTTGGACATGATTGATATTCATGCTCCAACCTGAGGGGGAGTGTTGAAAAGCGTGTTATTTCTTATTATTTAGGAAATACCATTCTCGGAAATATGTAATCTATGTACGGTAGATTAGGTGCTGATTTGTAGCTAGGTATAAAAGAGGCTTAATACCTCTGATTCATAATAAGATGGACGACTAGGTATTCATAATTTGACCTACCGGTTTCCACACCTAGGTTGGTTCTTTATCTACTTTTTGTTCTGTTCTAGTAGCAGTTTTTTATAAAAAGCAACATACTCAACAAGGTACCCTTTTCTTTCCCACTTATTCTTTGTTTGTTGAATTGCACTCATGTTTGGTTATATATTGTTTTTGTTGCATTTATCCATTACTCCAATATTTATTTGCCTTCACTTCTGCCCGGAGGCTTTAAAGGGAAAAAAAATTTAATGATGCTTATTCTTTTAGGGACCTAAACGATTGATTTTAACAATTCTCTTTTGTGTTTGGTATAATTGAACCATTTGTCTACTAATATTTGGTTCTTAGTTCTAAATGGTAGCTTCTCCCTTTGAAAGTACATATATTGGGATGCAGCCAATAGTGTATTTATCCACATGTTTATATAAAGGTAAACAGGTTCCTCGGGATCTAGTTTGTCCAATTCGTGCATATGTTTTTGTCTCCATATTCTTTCATATGACATGCCATATATTTTAACACTTGGTGTTGTTTTCACTTGTGTGCCTGGTAGTCCTCTTACTCTTTCATGTCGTTCTTCCATTTCATTCTTGCTCCCTTTCATTGTCTTCTTGTCTTGGTTTTGTAAGATTTTGTTGCGTCTTGATTTATCTTTGTTCATGAATGCATCATGCCTTTGTTTCCATTTTTTTTCTCTTTTCTTCTTTTTCCATCCCAGAACTTGGAGCTAATCTTCCTCCATGCAACCTGCCCTATCAAATGTTTTAGAAAACTACAAAGAATTTGGTGTTTGTCTTGCAAACTGGCATCGGAAGAATTTGGGAGGTTTTAATCAAAAACTCAAAAGTGCCCAAAACAAGCTTCGTTGTCTCTATAATTCCTCGAACACTTCCATGGAGCATTATCGCGATCTTCATGAAGTTGAAAAAATTCTGGATAATCTTCTCCTACAAGAACTACACTAGAAACAACGCTCCAGAATTTCTTGGTTGGAAGCAGGTGATAAATTGCATATCTCTTTTATGATATTGTTTTTAATGTATATCAATTATATTCTCTGCTTATAATAATTTTATACGATTGGATTAGTTACTGTTTTTGTAAGTATTATTCATTATAATTTTACTCATTTGTTACTCGCTCACTTTGTTCTATTCTATTCTACTTTGATGCTATAAACAATATTGCTTTCTTTCTCTCACTTTTTTAACATTATGATGACAGGTGATAAAAAATTGTTTTTTCACAAAAAAGTCGGAAGACGAAGAGGTCTTAACACTATAAGACAGTTGCTTACTCCATCAGGGCACAGTTAGAAGCTGATATTATCAAAGTGATTTGAGATTACTTTTATGCTCTTTTCTCTTCGGAATATTCTGATATTTCAGCTATTGAGGAGATCACAAATTTCATTCAACTATCAGTAACTAAAGAAACGAATCAGTTTTTGCTTGCTCCTTTCTCCGATCAAGAGATTTTAGATGCAATTAAATCAATGCCACCAGATAAAAGTCCAGGAGAGGATGGTATGCCAGCCATATTTTCCCAGAAAAATCGGATAACTGATGGTCCTCTAGTAACAAAAGCTGTTCGAGAAATTATGTGGTGAAGGTGATATCAAATTCATCAACTCCATCTCTTGTTACACCTGTTCCAAAAACTACCAATCTTTCTTCTAGGAATGATTACAGCCCCATTAGCCTTTGTACTGTGGTATACAAAATTGTGGCTAAAGTTCTTGACCTTCAAAGTGCTTTTCTAGAAAACAGACTTATTACAGATAACATTCTCTTGGCTTTTGAGATGGTACATACTATCAAAAATAGAGATCGGGTCAAGAACTCTCAAACTTGACATGAGTAAAGCTTTTGATCGTGTTGAATGGATTTTCCTAGAGAAAATTATGCTGAAAATGGGCTTTTGATAAACAATGGGTGTTGCTGATTATGAAATGTCTGATATCATTATCGTTCTCATTTCTTGTCAATGGTGCCCCACAAGGCAAAGTTTTTCCAACAAGAGGTTTTCAATAAGGCGATCCTTTGTCTCCTTATCTATTCCTTGTCTGCTCAGAAGGTTTCTCATCCCTACTTAGACGTGAGGAACAACAACTTCTTAAAGGAGTAAAAGTTGCGCGTCGAGCACCAACAATATCACATCTTTTCTTTGCGGATGATAGTCTACTTTTCTTTCAGGCAGAAATTTCCTCATGTCAGACTCTTCAACAAATGTTTTCATTATATTCTTGAGCCTCTGGACAACGAATCAATTTTAAGAAATCTCATCTCTCTTTGTCTTCTAATTCACCTCCTGATATTAAAGAAGCTTTTCATCACTGTTGGAGATTGTCACGAAACTTACCTTGGATTACCATCCCTTTCGGGAAGGAACAAGAGAGGAAATTTTTGCAAATATCAAGAGCAAGGTTTGGAACCACTTATCCTCTTGGCAGGAAAAATTATTCTCTCAACAGGTACTTTTCAAAGTAACCCAATCAAACATTCTTTACTCTTATGTCTGATATCTTATTCTAAATAATTTTTCATTTGTCAATAGCCTTTGAACTCCTATATACCCTTTAATCTTGTATTATTTCAAATTTACTTTTTCTGTTTGGTTTATTTTCTAAATTAATATGTGATTGGATCCTATCATAAAATTTTGTATTTGTTTTGTGTTTTGAAGTCTTATGCTCATCGATACCGAACATTGCGACCACTAATATTATGTGCAGGTAAAGAAATACTCCTTAAAGCGTTGGTGCAGTCAATTCCTGCATATGAATTCCCTGGAAAAACTAGAAGACTCTTTGTAAAGCCAAATGCGATAGTGGTCTTTGATGAGAACATAGCCATCAAAGTCAATCCGGAAGAAAGATAATAAACCTTAAACGTCCATCAAGTCATTGCAGGGCCAACTTGCATATTCCAACAGACTTGGGCGCAATTTCCAACAAAGGACCAAGGCTTAGTTTGGTAGTGCTGTGGATTTAAAAAAAAATACTTTTAGCTGTGCTGAAGGAAGAAGCAGCTGTTATAAGAAGCAGCTGAGTGTTTGGTAAACTGTAATTATAGTAGCTGTGCTAATTTCAAAATCAGTGTAATAGCGTTTGGTAAATTTTGAGATCGAATTGCTGTGGGTATGTAAAATGACCAAAATAGACATGGTATGAAATTTAAATATATATAATTATTTTTGGTATTTAAAAAGACTTGTTTAACTTAAAAAAAACATAATGCTATGATTTTGAGCTTTTTAACAATAAATTTATGATAATTAGTGAGTAATCAATTTGTTGAACAAAAATACGCATTCCATGTTCAAAAACTGGTAGAGGCATGAAAAAAATTAATTCGTGTTCATTAAACTTGCCGCAATTTAATCTCGTATTTCATCCATTTCTAGTGATAGTAAAGCTTGATTTTTTTCTACATTGTCCTCTGATTGATTCTCTTCAAAAACGAAAACATCTGGATTATCCTTGACCATTTGAAAATGTCAATCACGCTTATCATGCTTTCTAATGTAGTTATGGAGCGCCATTGTTGCAATAACTATTTTCACTTCTTTTGTAAATGAATAATTTGGCATGTCTTTTAAAATTTTCTATTTTTTTTTCCAGACACTAAAAATGCGTTCAATAATATTTCGTCCAGACTTAATGTAGTTATGGAGCGCCATTGTTGCAATAACTATTTTCACTTCTTTCGTAAATGAATAATTTGGCATGTCTTTTAAAATTTTTCATTTTTTTTTCCAGACACTAAAAATGCGTTCAATAATATTTCGTCCAGACACTAATATTAGTAGAATTATTAGTAAGCAAACAAGAATTTTGAAACCTTTAAACTAAACTAACTTGGGGTTCAAAGATGATCAAATAACAAAATATCCGATAAAATAACAAAAAGGGACCAAAAAAGAAGTTTCTACCAAAAAGATCCAGGAATAGCCTCACTTTAACTTCTCTTAAAAGCTTGATCGTCAAATGACCAAGTTATATAAACATTGATGCCTTGTATGTGGTCTTCAGCTTCCTAGTTGGTGGCCTGACATTCTTGTACACCAATGGGAATTTATCTTTGAGTTGTGGAATTGTTTTGTGCTCTCTCTCTTGCAAAGCTTCGCATAGACAGTTGCAGTCTTGATAATCTGAATGCATGGGAACCTGATTCTGTGGCGAGAAGCCATTTCGTTGTAAAAATATAATTTCAAAAATAAAAATTACCTCATTGATAGCAAGAAATTTCAAAAGTGCGTTCAACACATCCATGAAACACATAACCATATCCATGAAACAATTCCAACCAAATAAACATCCCCATTCCAAAAAAACAGTTCTTGCAAACACATATCCATACACACACGTATATACCTACAAATACAAACTTAAGGAGGCTGACAAAACGTATATACCTACAAATACAAACTTAAGGAGGCTGACAAACGATATGTAATCATTTGGAGATCGCAGTTGCCCTTCCTGCTCCTCTATCAAGGAAAAAGCAATCTGAATGCCACGAAAATGCAAAACTTTAGACTAACTAATTAAGAATAGCGTTCATGATCGAAAATATCCTAAGAAAAAAAAATTTAACTGAAAAGAGGCAGAGAACGGATGCTCAGGCTGACAAATGAAACAACAAACACTCTTGGCAGGTCCACAAGAATTGATCTTAACAAATGCAATTGACAAATCAGAGCATTTCAAGCAACAAAGTCTTATGAAATCCTTTATCAAACTCAATAGAGCATGACAAATATCCCATAAACATGTAACATGCTCACCTGTGTATCCATAACATTGTTCAATTTGATGCCAAACTGGAATAAATTCAATATTGGAACTAATATGACGAAATAACTCATGCCGAGATATGCTAGTAAAAATGAATTAGAGACCTCACTATCTCGTTTGCAATCGTGAATGACTTTTGTGATGTAACTAGACTCAAGTGCAGGCTTACATGCTTTCACAAGCATTTCTCCACCCTGAATGGCGTCGACCAAATATATAGCATCTGGAAATGCAAGCTGCCAAATAGTTTTAAAAGAACACATATGAAGAAATTATCTCAAGTGAAACAATTGTAAGACTATAATCAATTGAAATTATCGACAAAGCTTCAAAAAGGACTTTAATTTATGAAACTTGACCATCCGGGAAAAGAGAAAAGAACATGAAATTCTTATCCAGCCAAATCATGAAAGTTACATATGTTAATTAACATTTAGAACCAACAAAAATAGTACACAAATCGACTTCCAAACCAATATATTTATTATCTCTAGTTCGTTTTTACTCGTCCTAAGCCAACTGATGTAATCAAAGGCATAATAAAAAATAGTTTATTAGAAAGGGAAGATAGTGAAATTTGAAGAAAATACAAGCATATAATTTCAAACCAAAAACCAGCCCGAAGGGTAAATTATAGGCAGATACAGATAGAGAGAGCGCAAACGAGGAATAGCGGTAAACAATCTACGAGAAATATCGACGGAAATTGAACAATAACCAATCATTCGACCGTCAATCTTCCAGTTGATTGCCGTAATAAAGGAACAATCACAAGTAGTTTAATTCGAAAGTGATAAGAATAGTAAACATAGGTGAAATTTTGATGAAAGACGGGCAATCCCAACGAGAGAGAGAGAGAGAGAGAGAGAGAGAGAGAGAATACATAGTATAAGAAGAAAATCTACTGAAATTGAGCAAGAGAAAGTAATTCGATCGTCAATTATCCATTTGATTACCGAGAAACTTAGGATTTGAAACGGAAAGGGGAAATCCGAATTGACAATCTGAAATACGCGTTTTGCTTTTGTTCAGTTAGTAACAATATTCCTCGGAGACTAAACCAGACAGTAAGCGATCCGATCTCTCAGGTTAGAACAAACAAAAAGAACTCTTCCATGACTCGCAGACATTTTCTCGACAGCCAAACAGACCAAACCATAGGCGTTTCCAAGCCAAAAAGGCTACGAAAACGACGTTCCGAAGAAACCGAATCAACGAAATGGTAATCAGATTCTAAACAACAGAAAACTTGAGATTGTGCAAGAAAAATCTGGAATTGGATCGAAGGTAAAGAAGAGAAAGAAAGAGAAATACCAGAGAGCGAGGGAGAGGAATGTGCGTCTGATAAGGAGAAGTATATGTTAAGATCACATTACATGAAATTTCTATGTTATATATTCACATCATCTATGTCATTCAGTTGTATTGGCATACGTGATTATTGATGGGTCGAGTTACGACAGTTGTAACGAAAACCGCTTTGATCTTATGTTGGTATGATTGATGGACTAGATTAGTTACAGATACATTTCGGTAATGACAATAAAGTTGAGCTCATACGGTTATTTTTATAAAGCATAATTATAAGGTTACACATATAGCCCAAGTGGGAGATTGTTAGATCCTTAATCCAACATTGTGCTTATATATAAATAATTATGTGTTGCAGGCTGTCATATAAAATTAAGCCTAATTAAAAATGATCTATTAAGGTTTAGGTATTTTGGGCTTTAATGTATCTAATAGGGTGTGAATCTTTACTGTGTAGAGACTTAAGGGTAATTTTTATTTTTATGATGGACTAAAATAGAAATACCAAAAGATAACAGGAAAGTTATCAATATATGGCAGTTATGGTCCCCAGATCACACGTATCATGTTGATTCATTCTGACATCCCATCATCAGAAAGAGTACAGAGAGAAAATTAAAGGATTCTCTAGGAAAACGTGTTGAACTGGAAGACAAATTGCACGACTCTAGAGAGAAATCAAGCAATATGGATTCAGGTACGCTTTCGCTTACAGATTTATTAATTTTTGATGATCTAACATGAATGTTCTTGACTTTTGGGTGATGGTTTTCACCAAATCATTGATTTCTGACTAGTGGTATCAGAGCCTCTTCATGTTGAATCATTGAGAATCGAATTTATTATCGATCTATCGTGATATGTTTGGTGTTCTTGAATTTAACAATTTTTGTTCTACGGTTGTTAAATTTGAGAACAATTTTTCTTACGGTTATAGAACACTTTTCGGATAAGTTTGGGAATTTGGGTTTATTGAACCCAAATCAACACTTTGGCTGGTCCATTGCTACCGCATAAGGAATTTAAAAAAAAAAATTCTTTTGGATATTGAGCCGGCGGCCGTCCTTGCTGCCGCCGGCGTCTGGGTATTCCGGCGCAGCTCTTGGGATGCCGGAAAAAATGAACCTCAGCCGTCTGGCTGAGGTTTTTGCAATTGGCGGCCATTTGGCTGCCAGTTCATCCTGGCGGTCGAACAGACCCCTAGGGTTTGAGATGCACGGGCCCAATGGGGCCCGTGACATGAGGCTGGGCCAAGCCCACAGCCATTTAAAAAAAAAAAAAGAAAAAGGGCCTTTAGGAATAGCAAGTGACCCACAAAGGAAAGGGTTACCATAAGTATCCCTCCGAATTAAAGAAGTGGGCTGGTTCGGGATCCGGGTTGGGTTTCCCCGACCCGGTCAACACTGACCATTGACTTTGACCGGTCACTGTTGACCGTTGACTTTGACCTAAAAAAAATTTTTTTTTTTAATTTTTTTTTAAAAACTTTTTTTTTGGTCATTTTGGTGCAATTTTAAATTTAGGTATTGGTATGGTTATATATATATATATATTTTGAGATGAATTAATTAAAGCAACATGTCACCAAAGTGACCTCTCTTGTGAAAATTAATTTGTTTTGGAATATAAACAGTTGTGTATATATAACTTATGTGAATATTGATCGGCCCAAAGGAATGTCAATATTTAACAGAATTACATGTGCACCTGTGGTAATAAACGCGTGATAATTATTTAATTTTACATGTGAACAATAAATCGGCCCAAAGGAAGATTTATTGTTTGGGGTGTTCTTATTATTAGTGTTTGATTACTACACCAAGATATCACTTACAAGTTAACATTTTGTCCAAAGATGAAATGTTTATGGAGTGCCCGGTATCTTGAGATGGGGTTTACCTTTATTTGAATTTAATTTTTGTTTTGGGACTTAAGTGAGCTTGTTTTGTTTGTTTGTTTGTTGTTATCTATTTAGCTATGACTCTTGCTAATATTACTGCCAACATCAACTCTATTCCTATGCTGAATGGCTCTAACTTTAAGTCATGGCAAGAGAACCTTTTGATAGTTCTCAGAGTCATGGATCTCGACCTTGCGTTAAGGGTTGATTTTCCTCCACCTCTTACGGATAAAAGTACCTCTGATGAAAAGAGGGATATGGAAAGGTGGGAGAAATCAAATCGCATGTGTATGATGATCATGAAGAAGGCCATTCCGGAAGCATTCAGGGGCACAATGTCTGATAAAATTACTACAGCTAAGGAGTTCCTTACGGACATTGAAAAGAGGTTTGTCAAGAACGAAAAGGCTGAAATAGGTACGCTCTTGACAAGTCTAATTTCAATGAGGTATAGGGGCAAAGGCAATATCAGGGAGTACATCCTAGAGATGTCTCATCTTGCTTCAAAATTGAAAGCACATAAGCTTGAACTCTTTGAGGACTTGCTGGTGCATCTGGTTTTGATATCCCTTCCGGCACATTTTAACCAATTTAAGGTGAGCTACAACTGTCAGAAAGAGACTTGGTCCCTAATGAGCTCATATCACACTGTGTTCAGGAAGAGGAAAGGCTGAAGCAAGATAAGGCAGAAAGTGCTCACCTGGCCTCAACCTCTAAGGACAAGGACAAGGGAAAGAAAAGGAAGAAGGAAGCTGCATATACAGCACCTCAAAAGAAACAACAAAAGGAACCAGTTGAACCGGAAGGTACAGGTTGTTACTTCTGTGGAGTTGAAGGGCATAGAAAGAAGCATTGCACCAACTATCACGCATGGCGTGCTAAGAAAGGTATGCTTCTTAGTTTGGTTTGTTATGAGGTTAATTTAACTTCGGTACCTAGACACACGTGGTGGATAGATTCTGGTGCAACAACTCACATCAGTGTGTCTATGCAGGGTTGCCTGAGTTACCGAAAGCCAATTGATGGTGAAAGATACATCTATGTGAGCGATGACAAAACGGTTCAAGTTGAAGCAATAGGAAAATTTAGATTATTATTAAAGACTGGATTTTATTTGGATCTTGATGAGACATTTATTGTACCATCTTTTAGACGGAATTTGATTTCTATTTCTGCTTTGGACAAATCTGGTTATTCTTGTTCATTTGGGAATGGAAAATTTACTTTGTTTCATGATTCAAAATTGGTTGGTTCTGGTTCTTTGTCAGGTTATGATAATATTTATTTAATTGATACAATTGCTTCATTTAATGAATCCCTGCAATTAAGTACACGAGGTATAAAGAGAAAATTAACCAGTGAGAATTCGGCTGCGTTATGGCATAAGAGATTAGGTCATATCTCCAGACGGAGAATAGAAAGACTTGTGTCAGACGAAATTTGACCCCTTAGATTTTACAGATTTTAATGTTTGTGTTAACTGTATAAAGGGGAAACAAACCAATAAAAGGAGATTTGAAGCCAACAGGACTTTGGACGTCTTAGAACTTATACATACGGACATTTATGGGCCATTCCCTACAGTTGCTTGGAATGGTCAACAATATTTTATAACGTTTATAGATGATTTTTCTAGATATGGCTACATATATCTCATTCATGAAAAGTCACAGTCGCTGGATATGTTCAAAAATTATAAGGCTGAAGTTGAGAACCAACTCAGCAAAAGAATCAAAAGTGTCAGATCTGACCGTGGTGGTGAATACTATGGTAGATATGACGGTTCAGGTGAACAACGTCCAGGACCGTTTGCTAAGTTCCTAGATGAATGCGGTATCATCCCACAGTACACTATGCCGGGTTCGCTCACTATGAATGGTGTTGCTGAAAGACGAAACAGGACGCTCAAGGACATGGTGAGGAGTATGATTTGTCATTCAACTTTACCAGAATTACTCTGGGGAGAAGCGCTTAAGACTGCATCATATATCCTTAACAGGATTCCAACTAAAGCGACTACCAAAACCCCTTACGAGCTTTGGACGGGCAAGAAGCCTAGTTTAAAACACTTGCTTGTTTGGGGATGTCCGGCTGAGGCAAGGCCTTATAGGCCTAATGAAAAGAAACTGGACTCAAGGATGGTGAGTTGCTATTTTATTGGATACTCTGAAAGATCCAGGGGGGGCAAGTTTTATGATCCCGCGACTAAGTCAATTTTTGAGTCGGGAAATGCCCAGTTCTTTGAGGATGTCGAGTTTACCGGGGGAGATATAGTTAGGGACTTTGTCTTCGAAGAGGAATATGTTGATATTCCCACAGGTGCTATTGACATTGATCAGGATCTCATTTCTGACCTTGTTCAAGACACAACAAATTAAGACAATGTCAGAGAACCTCCCATACAAGAAGTTGTTCCAGAAGAACAAACTCTACCACCTCAAGAACCTATGCCATTAAGGAGGTCCACTAGAGAATGGAGAAGTGCGGTGCCAGATGACTATATTGTATTTCTCCAAGAACATGAGGTAGACATTGGAGTGATGGAAGATGATCCGATCAACTTCCTGTTGGGAATGGTGTCCTAGAAGCATAAGATGTAATATGATATTTATTATTTATTTAATAAAAAGTTTATTCATCATTTTATGTGTATATATTTGTGAATATTTTATGAATATCAATGAAAATTCTGTGATTATTTATGTAACCTTAAACATTGTATATAAGTGTTATATACGAGAGGATAATGTTTAAGGATAATAATAATAAAGCAATGTTCATAATGAATTTAATTAAAGTTCAGAATCTTTAATTAAAACATTATTAATACATGTCATTCCGATTTAGAATGGAACGATGTTATCCGGACTGTTAATATGGTGAGATATTGAATGAGGACATAATATGAATTTCTAATAATTTCCGTTAAGCATAGAAATTCTAATTGAGTCTACTGATAGTCATATATAGAATGATCTTAATCCTGAGTTCTTAACAGACTCCTATTTATGGATTTGTGTCTTTTGATTTACTCGGTACGGATTCTGAGATCCTGAATCCTA